AGCATGACAATGACCCAAAACACACGGCCAAGGCAACAAAGGAGGGGCTCAAGTAGAAGCACATTAAGGTCCTGGAGTGGCCTAGCCAGTCTCCAGACCTTAATCTGATTGAAAATCTGTGGAGGGAGCTGAAAGTTCGAGTTGCCAAACATCAGTCAGCACACCTTAATGACTTGGAGAGGATCTGTCAAGAGGAGTGGGCCAAAATCCCTCCTGAGATGTGTGCAAACCTGGTGGCCAACTACAGGAAACGTCTGATGTCTGTGATTGCCAACAAGGGATTTGCCACCAAGTACTAAGTCATGTTTTATGAAGGGGATCAAATACTTACTTATTTCCCTCATGAACATACAAATCAGTGCATAATTTGTTAGACATGCATTTCTTTTGAATTTTTTGTTGCTATTCTGTCTCTCACTGTCACAATACACCTACCATTCGATTTTTAGACTGATCATTTCTTTGTGAGTGGCAAACATTCAAAATCAGCAGGGGATCAAATACTTATTTCTTTCACTGTATAAACCAAAAAATACCAAACAACTGGAAAAAAAATAGATATTTTCTACTTTTTGTTATAAAAACATATACAATTAAAACATTTTTTAAAAAATCAAGTTTCTTCATAAATGTAGGCCAATGTGTATTCTGCTGTATGTCTTTGATGAAACAAAATTCCCAATAAGTGTATATTATTTGGTTTGTGTAAAAAGTGATAGCATCTATAAACTATGGTATATAAACTGAAATTTACACATCTATGTTGCTATACTGGTAATGGCAGTGATGAGTGACTTATAGTAGGACTGTGATAGTGTGGAAGGCAATCTGGCGCTAACAGACCCTTGCTGAGAGGCACACTGACATCAATAGTGACACTAATACAGTGATTAGATATTATATTGTACACTGTCGCTGTACAAATGACACTGGCTGGGAAGGGGTTACCTGGCTGTTTTTCCTCCCATCTTTGCAGGGAGAAGAAATATCCAGATCGCTGTTCTGTATGTTTGTAAACACAGGACTTTGTGCTGTAATTGGACACAGCCAATTACCAGGTCTCAGCCATAAATCATTGGCTGAAACCTGTTGACAAAACGTGCTGTATCCAACCTCAGCGTGCGTCAGCAGGTGGTGCACTCTTGCACACCCCAAACCCAGAAACAGGTGGCAACATTTATTTACATTGCTGAGCCTGCAGCTGCCGCTCGGTCACATTAACTGCTTCCCGACTGCCCTATAGCAGAAATACTGCTACAGGGTGGCACAGATGCTCAAAATCACGTATATATACGTGACTTCGCATTTCCGGGTAGGGGTACACTTGAGCCCTACCTGCGCCACCATTCACGGCTGCGGCTGTCAATCACTGGGTCCTGGCTGGTGATTACTCGCTGGTGCCCGGTGATTACTAAGGATCTCCGATGGGGAAGAGGACTGTTTTGTTTACAGGTCTCCTCCCTGTCAGCTCAGGCACACTGCTTTCGATGATTGTGCACAGCAAAGCCATCCAGAGCAGTGTGATTACAATGAAGCCCACAAACAACTCCCCCTAGTAAAACACTCCCTGCACACAGTTAACCCTTTGATTGCCCCTCATGTTAACCCCTTCCTGCCCAGTACCATTAGTACAGTGTCAGTGCTTTTTTTTTTTCAGCACTAATCACTGTATTGGTGTCACTGGGGATGTCAGTGATACCAACTCAGTTCTGCCCAGTGTCAGAATGTCCGCCGCAATCCCGCTATAAGTTGATGATCGCCGCCATTACTAGTACAAAAAAAAAAAATTCCAGTGTATATATACCGCCATTTGTAAACACTATAACTTTCACGTAAACTAAATAATTTACACGTATTGGGATTTTTTCCAGCAAAGACATGTCGCAGAATAAATTTTGGCCTACATTTCTGAAAAAAATGTGATTTTTACATTTTTTTTACTGGACATGTTTAATAGCAAAAGTCAAAAATATTGTTGTTTTTCTCAAAATTAATAAACACAAAAAATAAACGCACAGGCAATCAAAAACCATTCAAAAAAAGCTCAATTTGTGGGAAAGAAGTACGTAAATTTTAATTTGGGTACAGCATTGCATGACTGCGCAATTGTCAAAGTAACGCAGTGCCATAAGCGCGAAAAATGGCCTGGTCAGGAAGGGGGGGGGGTTAAATCTTCAGGAGGGCAAGTGGTTAAGTCTAGGGTGACCAAGCAGTAGGTAGTTAAAGTGGTTCTAAAGGCTGAAGGTTTTTTTCACACCATTATGCATTCCCTGCAGGGATTGACAGGAATATAAAATATATAAAGCACTGGATAAATTGTCGGCAGCATAGAAATACATGCAATAAATAAATACGAGCTGCGCCATTGCCTTCAGTAAATTAAACCCCGCTGACTTTCAATATATATATTATCTGCATCTATGTTATATAAACAGAAATTAAAAGTATGAAAGTTGTGTTCTCAGCTAAATAGTTTGGGTCACTGACTAAAATTGGATAATTAGATTTTTCTTTTCAGATGCCCAGGAGATTCTAAATCTGTGTAGAAAGACTAATTAGTTTTAAATTAATACAGTCGTTTGGTTTTCCCGTGTGTCACCTGTACTATGTTAATTGGGTTTATCTCAATATTTTGGTTTGTCTTTATTGTTTATGTCAACGGTCACACACCGAGTCTTTGTGTGTATGTCCATAAAAAAAAAAGCAATGATATTAAGCCTTTCTTTAACCTCCCTAGCGGTATGATTATTTCAGATTTTTGGTTCTGAAAGCGGTACCATTTTTTTGCATGGAAATATGTATTTTTTTTTTTTTTTATTGTAGGCGTGTAATTTAGGAATAACTCATTGAAATCTGTCCGCACAAGAGTCTAGTAAACATCCCGGGTATGATAAAACTTGAAACGCAAAATCATAAATTATAATTTAATAAATTATCATAAAAAATAATAAATTTAATTCAATAATATAATGAAACCCAAAACACTGAAATTTGAAATATAGCGCCAAGTTCGCACATCACTAAGCAAAGTCGCACAATCGTTTTCAGTATCTGATGCAGAATTTCCCCCACGAATCATTATCACTCAATTCTGCAAGTGGTTCTAATTTACTATCGCTATTCTCTAGCTGGTCTAAAACCGCTTTTGACCTAAAGGGACACTTTTTGGACGCCATGGACTTTTCTAAGTTTCCAGGCAAAAACCAAAACTCCCCCCCGAAAAGGGAAGCTTTAAATCATTTGATCCTCAACCAAATGGTAGAGGAAATACTGAGATCAGTGGCATACCTAGCAAATCTGGGACCTGGGGTCAGTCATATTTTTTATGCCCCCCCCCTTCCAAAAAGAACTGGAGATGTGAAGACATAAAGCACATAGTGCTCAGTGGCAAATTGCGGGAGGGACTTAAAGGGGCATAGTTAAGTAACACCTAAGCCTACTTTCCCTATACTGAGCACAGATATGCCACAGTCCTTTTGTCCACAAAATATGCTTTAATGACTGTGCCACAAGTAAGAGTGTATCAGACAGGTACAAACCTCAGCACATGGATTTTAATCAAATGAAAGCTATGAGTTGATTGGTTAGTATGCACAGCTGCTCTCGATTCTAGACACATTCTAGTGTCTACAGTGCATCACAGATCCCCTTCCCCAGAACAAACCCCTCAATATAGACTCCTGACCAACAACCCAACCCCAGCACAGATCCCTTAGCACAGACTGACCACTCAGTACAGACCCCCCCCCCCCCCAGCAAAATGTCCTCAGTACAGCCTCCCAGAGCCAGGCCCTTCAGTAGAGACCAACTCCCCCCTTTCACTTCCCCCCAGGACACAGACAGGCCACCTTCCCCATTACAAACCCATGAGTACAGAAATACCCCCTTTCCCCCACTTCCCAGCACAGACTCCTCCGTACAGAATGACCCTCCCCCTCCAGTATAGATCCCCAGTACAGTAAACCCTGCCCCACTTTTCAGTACAGGTCCCCCCCCCCCCCTCCACAGGTACAGACCCCTCAGTATTTTTTGTGTATATGTTTTTCTGTCCATCCAGTCCAGAGATTCACACAGCACAGCCCTGTCAGCACAGAAGATGTGATTTTTCTCCACTGCAGTTCAATAACACTTATGGGTCTACTTGTCTTTCCCTCAGCCTATGATAAGGCAGTAAAAGGAAAAGCAGCAGACTGATGAGTTCATCTCTCTGTCACTCTGCTTTCTCCCCTATCTGCATGCTCCTTGCACTGTCACACAGTTGATTGACTTCTTGTACTACTCTCCCCTCCCTCATGATTATCTCTGCTTTACAGGGACTGCAAAAGACTGACATCAGTCAAAATTGGGTATTTACACAATGAAAAAATTACATTTAATGAGGTATCATTGAATATGGAGCTCCATGAATTTGTGTCTTTTATATCTGTCTGGTGTTCAGCTGTAACTTGGTATTGTCTTTTACAATTGCATTAATTTTAGAAAATATGTTTTTCCACAAAGGCAGTGTCATTTCTAAATATAGATGTGAACATTTTACCCCAGTAATTAATTCCTTAAGGCTAGGTTCACACATATGCAGCTCTGCCAGCCAGGTTTTGCGCAGGCATGGCAGCCCATTCATTTGAATGGGCTGCGGTGCCTCCTGAAATGCAGGGAAAAAGTCCCTGCAGCATTTAAGAAATCTCAGCCCGCACTGGAATCGCAAGTGCAGTGTGGTTCCCAATGTGGGAGCGATTTCCAGTGCATGTGGTGTGCCATTAGGATTATTAGCACCTGCACACAACTGCTGCGTCTTTCTGTGTGGGTGGTTGCAGCTGCGGGACCAGGTGCGGCTCCGCAGCAGGTACCACCCGCACAGATGTGAAACTAGCTAACCATATTATTTATTAATGTTACAAGTGTTCCCCGCTAATATCTTCTACCTAAATCATCCTCTCTTCTGTTTGTATATTTTAATGTAAAAGTGCAAATCGAGGTTATGTCATTCTGTTTTTTTTTCAGGAACACATACAGAGGCTAGACCGAGAAGTAAATGAATTTGTTGATTATTTGTTTGGACCAAGGGGTAAGTAAATTTCAATTTAGTTTATTATACACAGAAAGTAGAAAACTCTAGGTAAACGGTATTTAATTTCAAAATAGTAACTGTTGTGCTTTCCTACAAACGGTTAGCCGACAGCTACCTAACAAAATTGTATAGTTATACTGAATAGTTCTGTAAAACTGCAATACAATCACATAAACTGAAAATACAATATTCTTGTTGCTTGCATACATGTCTCTCACAAATGCATACAATGAACACATTTCTTTCAAACAGCTACCTACAAGTCACTTTGAACACACTGAAACATGATCTAGCTATGTATGTGACTTTAACAAACACAATGAAAGCACTTAAAGACATACAGGTGAAACTCGAAAAATTAGAATATCCTGCAAAAGTTCATTTATTTCAGTAATGCAACTTAAAAGGTGAAACTAATATATGAGATAGACTCATTACATGCAAAGCTAGATAGTTCAAGCTGTGATTTGTCATAATTGTGATGATTATGGCTTACAGCTCATGAAAACCCCAAATCCACAATCTCAGAAAATTAGAATATTGTGAAAAGGTGCAATATTCTAGGCTCAAAGTGTCCCACTCTAATCAGATAATTAAGCCATAACACCTGTAAAGGGTTCCTGAGCCTTTAAATGGTCTCTCAGTCTGGTTTAGTAGGAATCACAATCATGGGAAAGACTGCTGACCTGACAGTTGTGCAGAAAACCATCTATGACACCCTCCATAAGGAGGGAAAGCCTCAAAAGGTAATTGCAAAAGAAGTTGGTTGTTCCCAAAGTGCTGTATCAAAGCACATTAATAGAAAGTTATGTGGAAGGGAAAAGCGTGGAAGAAAAAGGTGGACAAGCAGCAGGGATGACCGCAGCCTGGAGAGGATTGTCAGGGAAAAGGCCATTCAAAAGTGTTGGGGACTTTCACAAGGAGTGGACTGAGGCTGGAGTCAGTGCATCAAGAGCCACCACACAGACAGATCCTGAACATGGGCTTCAAATGTCGTATTCCTCTTGTCAAGCCCACTGCTGAACAACAAAGAACGTCAAAAGCGCCTTACCTGGGCTAAAGAAAAACAGACCTGGTCTGTTGCTCAGTGGTCCAAAGTCCTCTTTTCTGATGAGAGCAACAGTTGCTTCTCATTTGGAAACCAAGGACCCAGAGTATGGAGGAAGAATGGAGAGGCACACACTGCAAGATGCTTGAAATCCAGTGTGAAGTTTCCAGTCTGTGTTGATTTGGGGAGCCATGTCATCTGCTGGTGTTGGTCCACTGTGCTTCATTAAGTCCAGGGTCAACGCAGCCGTCTACCAGGAGATTTTGGAGCACTTCATGCTTCCTTCCGCAGACGAGCTTTATGGGGATGCTGACTTCATTTTCCAGCAGGACTTGGCACCTGCCCACACTGCCAAAAGCACCAAAACCTGGTTCAATGACCGTGGGATTACTGTGCTTGTTTGGCCAGCAAACTCGCCTGACCTGAACCCCATAGAGAATCTATGGGGCATTGCCAAGAGAAAGATGAGAGACATGAGACCGAACAATGCAGAAGAGCTGAAGGCCGCTATTGAAGCATTCTGGTCTTCCATAACACCTCAGCAGTGCCACAGGATGATAGCTTCCATGCCACACCGCATTGAGGCAGTAATTGCTGCAAAAGGGGCCCAAACCAAGTACTGAGTACATATGCATGCTTATAATTTCCAGAGGTCCGATATTGTTCTATGTACAATCCTTGTTTTATTGATTGCATGTAATATTCTAATTTTCTGAGATTGTGGATTTGGGGTTTTCATGAGCTGTAAGCCATAATCATCACAATTATGACAAATCACAGCTTGAACTATCTTGCTTTGCATGTAATGAGTCTATCTCATATATTAGTTTCACCTTTTAAGTTGCATTACTGAAATAAATGAACTTTTGCACGATATTCTAATTTTTCGAGTTTCACCTGTATGTGAATCAAAGGGAGAATGGAATATACCTTCACTGGTTTTCTTCTAGAAGCTGAAATGGAACTGCAGTGGATTATGGGAATCTTTATTCATAACAAACATGAGACACTTCCTGTTCTTGTTGAAGGGAAGAATAAAAACAGGTGCAGTTGCAGTGAACACCCAATAGATGGCTACCCATTCAACACAATGATGATATACAGAACAGTTAAAAAGTATTTGGACCTGTAACACATTCAGTTATGCACAGTGTATGTAAACTCTATAACAATGATAACTTTTACTGTATTTTCTCCTGTGGTCTGTTAAACATACCATTGAAAGTGTTTGATTGTATCTGCTCAATAAGTGCAAAATAATACCCATTGATCCTGCTAGCAGTCCATTGCTGTCCTGTGTCTTGTGCAAACCACAGTATTATCTCAAACAATGTTATAAGCCCTCCCCGGTTCTCCATTGTGGACAGAACACCTCCCCACTATGTTGAGGAGAGGAGAAGGTATTCTGTAGTTACAGTATGCTCTAAGCTAGGGTGACAATGCCAGCCTTTCTCAATTTTTTTAACATGGGAGGAACCCTTGAAATAATTTTTTGGCTGCATGCAACTCCTGCTAAAAGTTATTAAATTAACAGCTCACAGTACAATAACGTGATGGTCAGTGGAAAACAATTCCCATTTGTGGTCACTGGGAGGAATCCCCCTTACAGATAGCTAAAAAGATCAGTGGTGTCAGTGGTTACTTATCTGAGAAGTGGAAATTGTTTATTGATTGAGGAACCCCTAGCAACCTCTTCTGGAACCTTGGTTGGGAAACCCTGCACTAAGCACTCAGAACAAGAAGGGGTTACTGGCAGGATCACCAGGTGAAAATAAGAAAAAGAAGCCTGAAAAAAACAAAACAAATGCAGCCATTACATCTGAGGACTGGTAAACTTCAATAGATTACATTTCTTTTAGCCCGGGTTCACAAATATGCGGTTCAGTACATCACATGTGATTCGCACAGGAACCGCACCACATATTACATGCAAATTACATGCGATTTGTGTACAGTGCGATTGGAGCCATACATTATGGATGGCTCTAATCGCACCGCACCAAAAAGGTGCAGGACCTTTTTTTGGTCCACACTAGCATCGGATTGCTTGGGTATTCACACCTATGTGATCCGATTCTGCACATTGCACCACGTTTTGCGAACCAATTTTGGGGTGTTGTTAACTTAACATACACACCCACAGCAGTTCGCGATTCTGATGCGGTGCGGAATTCGCACAGAAAACGCTGCTAATTCCAGACCGCATCAGTGTGAACCCAGGCTTACTGCCACCAACGTTTGTTGGGGTTTAATGCACACACTTCCGGCTGCTTCCTTTTTTACCTAGGAAAACAAATCTATAAAAAAAAAAAACGAATGCAGCCACCAGATCCAAGAATTGGTAAGCTGCAATATAATATTTTTTTGTTGTTGGGTTTGCTATCATGTTAAAGTTTGGAAAGCTTTATTGGTGGTAAGAATTGAGGCACCATTGGTGGTAAGAATTGATTTTTCTCAAGTACACCTTGGTGCCTGTTAAGGAACTTGGCACTATATGGCTCCTGAATAAAAGTGTCAGATATAACTAATACATACCATCCTTCTCCAGGTACTACAACATTTTTGTAGGTTACTATCATAAAACCATGTTTACGGCGTTTGTTAAACTAACTGTGGAACGCCAGGCCTCTGTTGCAAGCTATTTTACACAATAGATTCAGGGCAACATCAGGAGGCTGGATGTAATAGATCTTTGGAAGACATTGATGGAATTCCACTGTTCAGATTTTCTGCTACCTAATAGTGTATTCATTATTCATGCTCTGAGATTTGTGTTCTAGATGGATAAATATAATGCCTTTTATTACAACAAGAATATTCCCAGAAATAACAACTCTGATACTTTTGGAATCTGGTCTGGAAAAGCAATTTTAAAAATGTATTATGGTTTGTCACAAATATCATAATAACAAAACTTTTAGGGATAACGCATGACTACACCTAAAGCTGCTCCATAGCAGGCCCTTGTCGGGCGACAAGGGGCGGTATTTTCTCTTGTTTTTATTCTTGAGAATATAGCATGAGCCACACACATTTTGGTATGCAAATTCTTTTATATTAAGATGACCACTGTTCTTTTGTACCCAGCACAACGTGTGGCAGCCGCCACGCGGTCTGCTTAGGTATTGGCCCCTGTGTGGGGTTTTTTTTTCTGTACAACTCTTTAAAATTCCAATAAAACGAATTGTTGATTTAAAAAAAAAATAAATAAAAAAATAAAAAAATAATATTATTATATATATAAATATATATATATATATATATATATATATGCTCCGTAATTCATCTTTCCACAAATAATACACAATTTTATAAGTTGAATATTATCTCGGTGATTGATGCTGATTATTTGCCAGTTCATTGAAGACTGTTGATAATATGACCATGTGATGTACTTTCATTCACATGTGCGTCACACATGCAGTAGCATTAATTATTGGCACCCCTAACATGGCTAGTAAACCCGTGTTTTTGTGCACAGCAAAATATGTGACAAATGCAAGGTAGAAAACACTTAGAAGGTAGAGGAGCACAGACTAGCCATAATTAACGTCAGTGAATTGGAAACTGTTGTAGGAAAAGCATAGGAAAAGCTGAGAAACTGCATAAGGAGAAACCAAGGTTAGTTAAAAAAACTGTTCTTTAATTCTGCTGCTCTAGAGACAGTTAACCACTTTGCTGCCTTTTTTATTATTGGTGGCTTATTTTATTTAAAGGATAAGCTCACCTTTTTAAAAAAAAATGCACATCTACATACACAGTGCTCAGCATAAATGAGTACACACCAATAGATTTGTCAGAAAACCTTTACTTTCCTTTCAGAATCAACATCTTCAAAGGGATACTATACTACAATATACTCCCAAAAATATGGGCCATTGATTGCAAACAAGATTTGTTAATTTGCACACACAAAAAAGTATTTTTCCTAACAAATTCATTCAAGACC